CGAAACACACAGGCTGGGCTTCTTTGTCAATGTCTGATAAATGCTTCTTTGAGGAATGTACAATAGAATATGAAAAAATTAATCTGAAGAATACTTAAAAATCAAACGCAAGATCAACAAGGAAGGTCGTCGTTCAATGTACGCAACCCTTACGGACCACCAGCCAGGAGTTCAGCAGGACGAAAATAAAAACAGGAAAAGGCACAAGGCAAATTTTTTTTAAAACATTGCTGTTGATACGATGTTTTTTGTAAGTGCAAGCTTTTATCAAATACATAAGCGCCGTCTTAAGCAGCATTGAACATATGTATGATAATGGTGTATTAATGAACTGAATGCGTATATGCGTACATACACGTGTGATTATGGAGGCAATGTGAGACGTTTGTGTCATTCTATTTAAAAATTGCTTTGAATGTGCCCAAATTAGATATACAATATTGGAACTGTGTAAATTGGACTTTCAGTAAATCAGGACGTTTGAAAATCCGATTCAGGATGATCTTGGGAGCAACGAAAACAAAATATGTAAAGCCTTATTTTCCAGACTCGGTTGGAGATAAGGAATGTGAGACAGTTCTTGTTGCAACAAATATTGTTTTGTTGGTTTTGTTCCTTCTTGATGCGACGTCTCAAATAACATCTAGTACGTTGTAATATTCAACATTCAAGTATTGGAAGAACCAGAGAAAAAAAATCTGATTTAAGAGAAAAAGAAATCCACAGGGGGCGTGCAAAACGGCAAAAATATGAAATGATTAAGCTGCCGTTAATGACGAACAACTTACGGAAACAGCCAGGATTCAGACAATGTTGGACATGACAATTCAAAAACGTTATGTTAAAGACAATGTCTTTGTTCTTTTTGAATAATAAAGTCTTATGAAGGTAACGGAATGTCTGTAAAACAGGCTTGTTCAAGATAATGAATGAGTGTGCTAAGACAAGCATTGAAACATCAATTTAGATGAAGACGTGTTAATAATGGCATACTATGTAAGTGCGATTTTTTCATACACGTTGATTATAGAGGCAAATGGTGAACGGTTGTTCTTTCAATTTATTTACAAATCTTTGAATTGCACCTTTAAGTTTCTACAAATTTTGAACTGTAAAGTGTACTCAGATCAGGACGTTTGAAAATTTCCGATTCGGATGATAAGTTGGACAACGAAAAAAATATTAAATTATTTTCAAAACTGGTGGGATACGAATACGAAAAAAGGCGCAATGGTCGGATGAATACGGAGGATAGAGTAGCACAACCACTTGTTCTGCTTTAGAAAGTGTTGCACAATAGACGCCGTGTGCAAAATTAAACCCTTACAAAATTAACCCTTTCAAGCATATACTAAGGAGACAGCAATTCTTGAAAAATACAGTATGTCTCAGGTCTTCTACCGACCATTTTTTGTATTACAGTACACGACCAAGCTATAAACAAAGCTAAAGTAAACTGATTTTAGTGAATGTGTAATCAATGTAAAGCTAACAGGTATATCTTCCGAACAACCAAAGATTTTTCGTGTGTTGTCTCAATATTGAACAGATGCATTCATATTTGAACACTCCTTGTATATTTATATTTTGTTATTACAACACAATGTTCCTAATGTGTGTTATTAGTAATTTAACTCAACAGTAAAGAATAAAAGCTTGATTTAAATGATGCCTGCCCGTTTCGTTTTTCAGCCAAATGCCAGTCTGTTTTCAGTTTGACTTCCCGTAAAATGTACAGGGAAGAACTTAACATAAGAATAGTAGTTCATTTGTCATTTTAAAATAAAAAAAGTAAAATCCTGGAATCCTATTGGCCATTCTAAAATAAAATGTAACTTAAAATGTGAACGAAAGTTTTTATCTTGCCATACAATCTGACTTAAGTTCAGATTTTCTCATATGTTTTATGTAAATCTAATGACGACCGTATATATTTTGCCTTCTTGCCCGAGAAAGCTATTTTTGTCATGCAAACTAACCGGTTTTTACATACTAGACATTAGAAGAAGTATCAAAATACTGTTTTAAGTGGAAATTAAACAAACTGTTGATTTTTGACAGAAAAAAATAATGCCTGAAGTAATTTTTTAACAGATTAACTTGAAATATACTAAAGAGTGAACATTTAAGGGGCAATACTATTTTGCCAGTTTACAACGCCATGTTTGTTCTCGAAATAGTTAAAAACAATTACATATTCAATATTGGTTTTCCAAGGGATAAAATTAGCAAACGCATTGCTTTTAAAATTATGAAACCTCGCCGATGATTGGCTGTGTGAAAGGTCACCAAAAAGATCTGTATTTGGTCACGGTCAGATATAAGAGCGGAGTGTAATATAGAGCTGTTTAAAAAAATGTAAAGGAGAATTTTTGCATAAAGTGTATAGGACAGGCCTTAAACTGACTGGTTAAATAGCTCAAATTTAAAGTTCTGTTTAACAATACTTCTTGTATTCAGATCTCATGACAATTTCTAGTTAACAGTTTATTTTACATAAGAACTTACACAAGATCCGAGTTTTAAATCTAGTCCAAAATAATGAGAATATTATCAGACCTTATCAGGTACCCTTAGCTTATTATGTTCAGTAATTATCTAATATTATACAAATACGGACTTTTTAGCTGTTGAATATGATGTGATATGTACTGAAAAAATTAATATTGACCGAGGCGATACATGATATATTCTGACCCCGCTATTCAGACCATACCTTGATAGTTGTAAAATCATGCACGTCAACATTTTCTTGTAATAATTGACCTCGTGGTATTACTACACCAGGAAAGGTCTGAGTGTCGCTAATTGATAGGTGTGAAATTCAAATTATCTATGTGTCGCCGTTTCATTATTGATATGCAACAAAAGATTATTGGTTACACAAAAATGATTGCCCTAAAATCTGTGTTAATTTCCGTTTAAGTACTTTTTTTCTGCGGGGACTTTATTTCTGCTATGTCTGCGGTTGATAACGACACCGCTGATTTAAAACCCACAGAAAATTAAGCCTGTTGCTATGTCTACATGTATGTCAGAATATGTCAACTACCTGTATTGCATAATTTCTTTACCATACACCGTATCAGCTTTAGATGGGAATTTTCTTTATGTATCCGTCATGAATAAAATTTTAGAAAAAAATTACTTTATTTGTTATAAAAAATATCATGTTTGTATGATTTTTGCTCACCCTAAGCTTGATTTATATATATTGTTTCTACGTACGACTCTACCTGATTTATTTTTTACTCTTCATTTTTATACACATGCAGTATTACAATTAATTGTTGTCATTGCACGGTTAATTTTGTAAACATATCTTTATTAAAACGCAGAAATAATGAACATCAATTATATATGCGAGAATGATGACACCGCAGAAATAAGATAAGCAGAAATTTATTTTTTCTCGATTAATAGCTTCTGATTAATTTCAATTGCATTCCTTCATTCCAGTGTTAAAGCATTTTAATACATCGTAACACCAACGTTATTTATTTCACGTTCAATATTTGTGTAGTTATCAAGAAACGAAAAGGTTGATCTAGTAAATGTTCAATTATGAATTTGTGTCTAAATGCAGAATTCATAACAAATCACTTTGCACATTTTACTGATTTTGCATGAGTTATGTTTTAGAGAAGAGGATATCCGCTATGTGTGTACCCACGATATTTAGACATGTAAGGTCTTAAGCTCCTGGATGCGTCAAAATGGCACCATGTGAGCTCATATCCGTACTTCAGTTCTTCTATACGTGTGTAATATTGGATGTATATTCGGTGATCGACCTGGCCATTCAACACACCCCATACCCTCTCTCTGCACGTAGACGTGGGCCTCCTTTGCCCTGTTCAGACGCCAATTATCTACCATTAAAATGAATTTATCGGCCACTGCCCCGGAATAAACTATAAACGGAATCTCTAATATGTCATCAATGTACCGCTGATAAGTCGTGCTCTGCAATAGTTAAGGCTTGGAACCTTTTCCCAAGTCTATTCCAACATAGTAAAGTCTAGACAAAAATTTAACTCGTCATGAAAAAAAAACAACATTTCTCCATTTTTACCTGGGCAACTTCACCAGTTTCAAAACGTGCCTGATGCGGACGACGAGTCAATGGAATTCTTAAACAACGTCTTATTAGAAAATCCGCGTTAAAACCGTCTTCACATTATCTTAGTTATCAACCTCATGGTGTGTGTTTTGCAAAAGTTGTTCTAAAACAGTTATCATAATAGTTTAAAGCACCCGTGCTACATAGAGAGAGGTTGCGACATATATGAATCAATCATCCGTCGCCTGCTTGTCCTGTCACAAACCTTGTCCGGCATACTTCTCAATATAGTACTTTTGCAATTTCCTCCAAACTTTAAAGGAATGATAAGAACAATTTCATCACCAGATCTAGCTGTGCATATTTTCGGTAATGTTGTGTTCAGTGATTTGTTTAAGAGTTATGGCCCTTAATTGATTTTTAATGTTGTCCTTACTACTCCACCTACGCCAATAAACTGGCCCTTTATTACTTTTTTTAATGTTGTCCTGACTACTCCACTTACGCCAATAACATAATTTCAATGATTCTTTACAGTATTGATCGGTAAGCTCAAGTACTTGGGGTACATGTGTTTTTTTTTTTTTTTTTTTTTTTTTTTTTTTCGCTTAAATATGTTTTAACATAATTATGGCCCTTCAAGAAAAAACCTGTTTTTTATCTTGTTTGTTATCTTTTGTCCTCTGCTACAAAGTAAATGCACCTATCACGCGACACGTGATCACTGATCGCTCCTGTTACGCATTGTTCTATCCAATTATGCAACATTTTCTTCAAAAACTCAAACATTTATTTTTATGCATTTATGTTTAATTGGTTTATTTGTATTTTCAGAGTTCTGAAATTTAGAAGGTGCAGTGTAATAAATTATTCTTGAAAAACTATTAATGAAAATAGCAATGTATACAATTAATTTGTTGTTTGTTTTTTTTCACAGAAGAAACTGACCGATGCTTCCAAGAACTAGGTAATTTTTCGTTTGTTATTTAATATGCTTTCATAAAAGTTATATGAGTAAACAAGATAAAATGCGTGAGTTGATTCCACATTCTAGGTTCAAGGAATTTTCATAATACACAATGCAAACAATAAATACAATCTGTCTGCAGGTATTTGACTTAATAAGTACAAACCATTCTACACCATTTTGTATTGTATCCTAGTTTAGGGATCTCTCTGTTGAAAATGTGTAGTAGCAGGTATAAGTCACCTGTACTCCTGTGCATAACCGATGATTGATTAATTTTTTTGGGGGTTTACTTATTGTTTCGGCAAAGAAAGGGATAACGATATAAATAATCATATTCAGATAGTCGTTACTATTTTCTTGGGTTTTATATTGTGATAACAGGGACATTGATTGTTTTTTATTTTTGCCTATGACACGAAAGAAAAAGAACATCAAAACACACTCGATAATTTTATTTATACTCGAAGGGGGGGGGGGGGGGGGGGCGCAACCACAGGTACATACCAGATAACCTCGTGTTTCGATCAATATATCATGATATTAACACTCTTTTGTCTATCAAAATAGTAATAAAGAAATGTGTGTGAGTGTGTGTTTGAAGGGTGGGGGGGGTAAATGTATATTTTTGTTGGTTGAGTGAGATTGGCATTGTTTTAAAGAGGTGAAATATGCTATTTTCCATTCAACGTAATGAAAAGAAATCCGGTATTTATGTATCAAAAAATTAAAGTTGTTAATTTTATACTATGTCTTATTTCTATGATAGTAGCTTCACTAAATTATGGAAACACTCGATATTAGCGACTTTAAGTCTTAAACACATTCATAGAAACAAAATTTAACTACACAGGTTATTGATTAAAACAATTTGACTTTTACAATATTTGATTATTAGGAACCAAACTATTGCGCAAAATTAATGTTTGGGGAAAAAAGATTGTCTTCAGACATTGCTATTTTGAAATTAATTTAAGGAGTAAGTTTTCCTTAATGTATATTTGTTCTTTTTTCATTCACCAAACGACATTCATTATATGTATTAATACACTGACTGGTGTCACTTAGGTGAGTGCGATTCGTCGGTATACTCCAAAAGTAACTTAGTCGCGTTGAGAAGTACAGACTGTGACTCTTACTGTCAGTGTGTCCACAATGGAACAAATGCAGATGGCTCTGTGAGTTATAAGTGGTTGAAGAGGCCGTGTCCACCAGGAACGAAATTTGATCAAAACATAAATACTTGTAATCATGCGTCCTCGGTAACATGTCGTAAGTTCATACAATTATATCTTTACCATGCAAATTAACTGCTTTATTACTTGTTACCCATTTTAGAAGAAATATATGTAATATTATTTGATACTTTCCTCAAAATTTGCAAATCATATTTATAAACACCTCATGAAGATTTCAAATAGCAAGAACATAATTATGATTATAATAACAGGCTCGGTTCAGTTCCAGAAACTTTCTCTAATACCAAGTCTAAATGCGTTACTTAGATCAAAAGTGCTACAAACACTGCAATCATAATTTGTACACAATTTGTACGCGTTTATCTTCCTTTTTTTTCGAAAAAAAAGTAAAGTACCTTACGCCGAGTGTCTCCTCTTCGGTCTGTTTGATGTTTTTAGTATCTATAATGATATC